GTTCTAAGATTGTATGTGATTATGTGTGGTTCATTGATATAGACAGTATTTGTCTCTGGATAGTTAGTATGTTGGGTACGCTCATCATAGGGGTCTAAAGATGTTGAAAATGATTTGCCAGTAATTGAGTTGTCTTCTACAAGGTCGTTCGCCATTTCAAGCTCGGTTTTTACAGCTGCGCAGGATTCCATAGTCTGCCCTGTATGTTGGGTCTGACCATCATATAAATAGTCTTCCGCGTAAAATATATACAGACTTACACTTTATAATAAATAAAATTATAAATAAAAAATATATAGTTTATATTTAAAAATTTTTTTATATAAGTTTTTTATCGGATTTGTAAGAACTTTATACAATAGTTACATAACTTTATAGAACTACATAAAATTTATAAAAAAAAATTTGTTGATGCAAGAGATCTACTTAGTAAACATATAATTAATATCAAATATACAAAAGAATGTATATATAGTTAGAGTTGCTTGCTACAGAGTAGGAACTTTGTATTTTTTATACTTATTTGCATTATAATATTATTAGATATATCATATATATTAAATTGCAATATAAGTTACAACCCTAATTGTGCTACAAAAAAGTTGTAACATTTGCAGCAAGCAACACAATATATAGCACACTTATATATTCACCCAAACTGATCTAATTCAGTTGAATTAGTTAATATGTCTTTTGTCAAGTCCAACAGCTTGTGTTTGCTCCTAGTTCGTGTAAACAGCTTATTCACAGATGAAGAATTAGTCACAGATGAAGACTTAGTCACTGATGAAGATCTAATTGCCGAAGGAAGTTTGGTCACTAACAGAGGGTTAGTTACAGATAAAGCATTAGCTACTAATGAAGGGTTAGTTACAGATAGAGTATTGGCTACTAATAAAGGGTTAGTTTGAGATAGTTTAATTTCAGGTAATCTTTTGTTTTCAACTTTGCTATTAAATCTTGCTGCTATAGTCTCAGCAAAGCTAACAGTTTTAATTAACTCATTAGAAATATCAGGTTTCCAGAAAATCTTTGAAGAGCTATCTATACTCATCAGCACTTTCTGATAACCAGAAAAGGTCATACTCTTAACGTGTATGTAATTTTTATCATCATACACAATGAATTCACTGTTAATATAGAGAAGTAGATTTTTTTTATAGCCAGAATAATGTGAACTAAATGGGGCACAGATGTTTGATAATGACAAATAATTTCAGTATCATTTTGATCCTGATTCATATGGTCATTCATTAAGACTGTTATAAATGCATCTTTATTATCTGCATTTGGTATTTCTTATACTGTCACAGTCATATTAAGTAAAGCAGGAAATTTAGAAAGACCAGATCTAAATCAAAATGCACAAGGTTACTTAAAATGATCTATATACATATTTGCACATTCATGATCAATACAAAAAATAATATATATAATTAGTTAGTATAATTACATATATATTGTGGATACTGTAATGTATGCATGGTTTAAAATATACGAGAAATAAACAACACAGCATTATTTTTAAGATAAATATTTATAATCATATATGATATCTAATACATGTGATTTTTAAGAAAAACTTGCATTATAGAAGTTAGCATGGATATATCACATTTACTAATTTTTCACCTTGATTGAGATTATTTACATCAATTTACACATACTTTTTATTTAAAACAGGATACCTCAATCAGGATTTGATGTTAGTGTTATCGAGCAATATTATAATAAAATCCTGTAATAAATTTTTTTTATCAGTGCACCAAAGATGATTCCTTAGCTGAATTTTTAAGACAAACACTACTTTACAAAAAAGAGAAGTCATTGCTTTGATTGTCACATTACACTAATCTTGCACTCTGATTGGTCGAAATGAACACTAGAGAAAATTAGTAAACATGAACACACCATGCTACATATAGTATTATATAATTTAAATCATCAAATAGATCAAAATCATACTTTAAAATTATATATCACTTAATGAATATGACAAACAACATATTTAACATACACCAACAAGATATTAAATCAGAAAAGATCCTTGTTATTATCAATGCACATTGCCAAAAATAGGAAATACTAACTCACTTTCAAAGCAGGAAGTTTTTGTTTTTATCATTTATATATTCAATCACACAAAATTTTTCAGTCATGAGGATCACATCTTCTTTTTCAAATAAGGGAAGACTAAATTTCTGGGTTGTATACTGAAGATAAAAACCTTTTAAAAAGATTTTTAAAGATGAATATAAGATTCAGGATTTCATAAAACCTGAAGCCTCAACTACACAGATATTTTTTCCAGGATTTAACTGATAGTCAGTTACATAACAAAGCACAGTAATAGTATCAGGCATGGTTATTATCGTAGTGAGAGAAGAAATCCTAATAATGTTGATTTTTTGTATTTTTTTTATTTTAATTCATCTACCAAAAAAAATGTTATACAAAAAAATAAACACTATAATCATACCCAAACATGTACACGATAAGCGTAAGGCTTTTGATAAGGCTTAGCTAGAAGATAATGCTAATATAAATAGCATACAGAAACTATTTATTAAGCATGTCACCCCAATACCAACACAGCCATAAAACATGCAATACATATCAC